AACTATGCCTTAGTGTAGTAGTCTTCAAAGCCCGCATTAAAGGTCGAAGATCGCGTACATAGTGAAATTAAGGTTAAACGAAAAAGCGACTTTAAAGAAATTAAAATTTCACAATATTATTCTCACTCTCTCTCTCTCTCTCCCTCTCTCTCCCTCTCTCTATACCTCCATAGCTCTGTAACAAACTAAAATTTGATAATTAAAAATTCACTTATCTCTGACTTCCATGCGAGTTCTCTAAAGGAGTGATCCTAACCGCAATTTTATCAAGTAGATTTACACTTTTTATATGTGGTCGGTCAGGTCAATTCTAAGGGTCTAAGATTCAAACTATACAAGATCCATTCTAAATTGAATATAGTTTGTTGACCTCTTCTATGTTACATACGTTTTATCGAAAGCATTGTATTTGTCCGAGATGGATGTAGAATAAAATTGAAAGCTCTTCAATATGTCAACATGAAAAAATTGAAAAACAGTTTTGCAATTCTGCTGAAAGCCTATAAACCGCAAACAATGCATTTTCCAAAATGCAGTCCGTTCCTTAAAAGAAAATAAAAAAAAAAAATTGCGTTTTTTTCTATGAAAATAGTGATAAGTATTTCGGTGGGGTACACAAAACCATCCATTTATATATATAACGTGAGGATGATGTGCATGCGTGCGTGCGTGCTTGCTTGCTTGCTTGCTTGCTTGCGTGTCTGCACACAATACATACATATATATGCTGCTGCAAATTAAAAACATATTGTCATATGTGTTTTTATTTGCATTGCATTAACACCAACGTTACCATAACCGTTACCGCAGCTACCACCACTAATACGGTAAATATTCACAGCAGGATAAATTCATAATAATAATGAAAAACAAAGCAAGAAAAAAACAAAAATACACAAAAAAAAAATGTTTTTCATAAGTTAAAAATATCCGCGATATACAACAGAAATGCTTTGGCACTATTTTCAAGTTCTATGATATTGTACAGAGATCAGCATATACGTACGTGCGTACACTTGCTTCGTTACAACATTCAGACCAATCATGTGTCCATAAGTTTGTGTATAGGGCGTTCGTTAACATTTCGTTAAAGATGTGCTGCATATTAATAAATTTCCTTAACATAAAATACACAAACAGATATATACACGCATACAACATACATTTATATATGCATACATATGTTTGATGGTATTTGTCTTCTTTTTTTTTTTTTTTTCATATAATTCTTCTTCTTTTTTTTATCCTATATTTACAATATTTAGCTATTCGGATAGTGCCATCAAATGCGATGTCGGTACTGATCTGCGGCAATAATAAAACATATATATTGTTGTGCTAAAGTTCGACAGCATCAAAAGTATAAACAAAATTACGAGAAAAGAAGGAGAAAAAAACTAATGGATTTTTTAATCACTTTTTTATAAGTAAAGTAACAAAATGTTTTACTTGAAGAAGAAGGGAAAAAATCGTCAACTCTTCTTTTTTTTTTTGCTTTCTTTCATTTTTTCACTGTAACACAAATGCACCATGTGTGCCAAGATCGCTGCATTTGTTTGTTTAGTATTATTTGTCGTACATGTATGTTGCTTGAGTGAGCTGAGCTGAGCCGAGCTGAGCTGTACGTAGAGCCAGTTGGAAATTTCCCACAATTATTTTGCCATTTTGCGTGGACTGTATCTCAACGGTTTCAAAGGTTTTTTCCTAATGCACTGTGAAACCATTAGTTTAATTCAATTCGTCGCTTCACGCAAAGAGCAAAACAAACAGAGGAACTATCAAAACTTCCCCACTAAACTTTCGCATTTTTATCGAGCCATCAAAAATGTACATGATCTGGGCATGTCTTGTTAGAAAATAACGCTTTATACTAGGTAAGCTTATTGGAAAATGCAATTAAAATTTGATCTCAACTTGAGAATTGAGGTACGACTAACTCCAAAGATATATCTTTTAGAAAAATGCGATTAAAGTGTCACGTAGAACACATTACTCGAAAACTTCAAAGTTTAACGGTCATAAAGAATTTGATTCGCGATAAAACCTTTTGAATATCATTTTTCAATATGTCATTAAAAAAAAAGATCAATTTAAGTCGTTGAAAAAAGATTCTAAAATAAAATTTATAATAATTTTTGAGGTAAAAGATTTGATAGGAATATAACGAAATGCTTATCTTTATTCATTTAATCGTTAGGATCGAGGCTGCTTATGGGCTTAACTTCATCATTCCTAAACAAAATTTAAAACCAATGCCGTGAAGTGTTTTCAGCAATGATGAGTGCAAAAGCTACGTCATCTCTTCAAGTGGTGTAAGCAGTTAGAACGTAGCGATGATTGCAATGATCGTTTGAGTAGCAAAAGAACCTGATCGTCCTTCAAAAAATGGCTTATACGGCCATTAGCTGAGCAATATCACCTTGTTCGGGGCTTAGCAAACCTAATTTGTAACGAAATTTTATCTTGAGAAGTTTTATTTCGATTATTGTTCCTGGATAGCAAACCTGATGCGAGATTAGGAAAAGTACGACAAGAAAACATTGTCAAGATGACAATGCTTGACTACGGCTGATGTTGTTTCGTCTTCCAAAGCTCATTGATATCCGGTTTTTACAGATTTGCTTATAAGAAATCTCCAACTGAGCTGATTCTTCACATATCAATCTTTTAAGAAGAGTTACCTTAAGTTGTTTATATTATCTCTCAGCAGAAACTGTAGAAAGTAAAATATAATAATATAATCATTTTCTAATGTACTTTTCGCGAGGCGCAACCATGAGGAGAAGCAGAAGGATCTCATGCCAATCTCAACTGTTTTTAATGCCTTTTCCTTCTAAAGTTCCTTAAAATGTGTCAATTTTTCACTAAAGCGAACATTTCTCTGGAAATCGAGTACAATTTCAATAAGAACAGTTTAGAGTAACGGTAAATATAACCTTTTTACGCGTAATCATAATATAACATATTATGACGAGAACGACGGTATAAGCCAACGACTTTTCAGAACGGCAAAGAATGCCTGGGAATCCTTGATTAGACTACAAACACAGCTACTTGTCACTTGAATTTCCTTTTTTTAGTTCATACACATTTTTTTGTTATTTTTAGATATTTTCTATTAACAACTAGCCAGAAGGACACTATACTATTTGCATGTAAACTAAACTATGTAAGAATGACCATTGAGTATATAGCGAAGTGTTTATTTCCAACACCTCTACCTTTAGATCGGGTTACACAGAGTAAAGACTATTAAATCCTTCCTATTCAAGTCAGCAAAATTTGTTTTCTTAGGGACTTAGGGAATCTCGCTGCTTATAATGTAAAAGATTATAGGAAAAGTATATAAATACTGCCCTTCAAGCTGGCAAATTCCTTTAGTATGTATGATGTAAGTAAGTGCTAATCGTGTTCAGATGCAGGACGTAAGAGAATTTACAAAATCGTGCTTTTTCGATCGTTCTTGTTGTTTTTGCACTACCGGCCTAAAGGTGTTATTTAGTATATTTTCTTATATCGACCTATGTCTATCTTATGGGTTAATTTCCACAACACAGTTATAATTTTTGAAGTCGCGTTGAGTGGTTAAGTGGATAAACTCGTAGTTAGCTGGACAATTGTCCGATTATATGGTGAATATATTAGATGACCAAGAAATTAGATGACTGGGGATGCGTTGAAGAGTAAGTAGATGATGCTTTGCATATACTGGTACTCTCTCGCTACTGAGAAAAGATCACTTTTGTAGCTCTATACATATTGCTTGCTCTCTATCCTTTGCTACATGTTCTAAAATGGCACCTGCCGACATTTTGTAATATAGCTACAAACATATTGCAAGTACCATTCATTTTGCATTGGAACCAACAATTAAGCTTTCGTTACCCTTTCGTTTTCTTTACACGTAAGGATAAGAAAATCTATTGCCCCGAAATTGTTGTTGAATGTTTTGCAAAATATCTTAAATTTCTATAAAATCGGTGAAGAGTATTTAGACAGAGGATCTTTATAGTTCTCTTAGAGATGAAAAATTTGAATTTGATGTAATTTTAACTGAAACTAACTATTTCCAATTGGGGCTTAGAAGAAAAAATACTCATGTGCACTATTCGTCTATAAAATAAAAAAAGTAAGAAATTAAATAAAATAAAATAAAATGTGGATGAGCAAACATAAGCAGTAGAAATAGCAACAACAACAACTGAAACAATAACACAAGGCATTAAAAAATAGAATAACGAACAACAAATAAACAAGAAAAAAAAATCATGATCAGGAAAGAGTAAAAACTAATAGCACCCATTATAATGAAAACAAAACCCAAAAAAAAAAAAAAAAAAACAACAAATGTAAAGTAACAGTAAATGCAGCATATGTAACAATAATAATAACAACAACAACAGATACGTGAAGTAAGGAATAGTCATAGTCAGCCGTAGCAGAAACACTAAAAACCGTACGAGCACTTGTAGCAACAGCAGTGGCAGCGCTATGAACAACGGTAGCAGAAGCTGAAAGCACAAATAACTCGACAAAAAGAAAACACAAAGTAATCTGTGCGCTGCCTCTAAAAAGATCCTGAGATCTATATGCTTATGCGTTCACATGTATATAACCACGTATGTACGCGAGTTTAAATAATGAACACTAAATAGAATTATGGTTTATTCTAAAAGAAAACGCGCTGCAAGTAGCACACGAGATATAACAAACGATTAAAATTAAAAAAAAAAAAAAAAAAAACAAAGAAAACGCACATAAAAGTGATTCGTTTTTATATTTAATTTGCCGCGAAAATAACAACAACACAAAACAGCTTAGAAACAACAAACAACATTTAGACAAATTTTAGACACTGATATTGTGTTTAACGCATTATCATGGGGTTTTCCCAGTGAACAAAGAAAAGCAACAAACACAAAAAAAAAAAAAAAAAAAAACAAACCCAAAAAAAAAAAATTTTGTGGGTTTGCCAAAAAAAAAAAAAAAAAAAAAAAAAAAACTGCTTAAAATACGAAAACACGAAAACAAAATCGAGAAAAAAAACAAACAGTCGCGATAGTGTGACCAATCGTGACAGTGTGACCAGAGGCTATGCTTTCAATGTGTGTTTTCTGACAGCCATCACCTAGCTAGAATGATTGATTGATATGCAGTCAGATATCTTTGTTTTGTTTTAAGCTCTTTTAAGAAATGAAAACAAAAACTTCGAACATGTCTTCCTCATTGAAAATCGATACCGTAAGCTCATCGAATTTAAACATTCCAAGCGTTAAGAACCTTAAGCTATTTCCTACTAATTGTAATGATATTTCTCTTATAACTGTCACCTCGCCTTATACAACAACAACAACGTTATCTAGTACGACTACAACATCAAGCGAGCCAATGTCGCAGCAACAACCGTCAATTCATAATTATACGGCAGACAGTTGCGATTTAATGTCGCCTCCGTTAAGTGCCAATGCACAGGAACATTTTCGTACACCGCTCTGCAATTTAAAACGAATCGAAGGCAACAGTTTAACTTACAATCATTTCATTAGCGCCGAGCCGCACTTTCCCGATTTCTCTCAACTGACTTTTGCTGCCAGTGAAACGCCCAATTTTTTATTTACCGATTCGCAAACTAATTTACCCACTGTCATAAGTTTTCTTGAAGACGATGAAAACCACCAATCGCCTGGGGACGGTTTAATAAAATCTGAATCCATGCAGATCGGTCAAGAGCCGCCGTCATCATATCAATGCCAGAAACTGAATCGTGCAGATGTGTTTCGTTTCGAGCCAGAGCATATCGCACGTTTAACTGCATCCTGTCAATTTGAAGAAAACAATACGAATGCAACAGTTAGTTTTATGCAACAACGAATGCCATATAACGCGCAAACAACAACAACAACAACAGCAACAACAGCAGCAGCAACAACAACAACATCAGCAGAGTTTGATTCATTTAGTAGCGGGACACAAATGCAGCAACCTTCGGCCGAAGATCACACTATGATCGGGACGAGCGACTATTTAAATTTGGATATTGAATACTTCAACTATGATGAGATAAATTGTCAATCGAAAAATCAATCGCCTTGTTCTACACCGCCTTTAGATCCTTGGATGAACATAAATTCATCGGAGGCGTCGCAGCAACCATCGCGTCAAGATTCGCCTAAATTAATAAATACATCTTATGACTATCACTACCATCAACAGCAAACACTTGACGATATTAAGCATGCAGATCATCATCTGAAAACGAAATTGCCATCGATGATGTCCACTTTCGGTACACCCAAGTACGAGCCGTTATCTTCCTTTGCTGCTAGCGGCGATATGTCGCAATCGTCGTTATATCATCATCATCATCATCATCATCATCATCAAAATCAAACACATCAACATCCACATCAACATCAGGAACAATCATGTTCTCATATTTTCAATCAACGCGGCAGCTCTTCTTTAACATATCAATATGAGCAAAATTTTCTCACTACTACTCCATCATATTCCGAAGATTTGGATAATTGTAATTTACTTAATATGGATAAACCGAATCGTGATCATAAAATTATTTGGACCATCGATGAATTAGACGAAATCAATGAAGAATTCATAAATGAAACAGCTCGTCTAACACCCAAATCGATCAGTTTCGATCCCGGCAACTATTTATGCGATAACGATAATAATGTATCGCATACTGACGAGGATGATGAAAACGCCAACGATTATTTGCATAATGCCAAGAAAATTGATAACGACTCTGAGGATAATGACGATGTGTTCATTACGACCAAACCGAAAACAATAAAAACGAAACGGCGCCGCTTCGATTCACAATCATCGGTTACGTCGGCATCATCAGCTGGTTTAATCGCGAACTCTTCCTCTTCTTCAGTTTCGCTAAAAGATGCAAATGGTGCACCGCTTCCACCCATGATCTGTCGCTGGTCGGAGTGCTACGAAGAGTTCCCCAATCAAAAAGAGTTTGTCGCTCACATTGAAAAATGTCATGTGGACGTCAAACGCGGTGAAGATTTTTCATGCTTTTGGTTGGATTGTCCTCGTCGCTATAAACCATTTAATGCTCGCTATAAACTTTTAATACATATGAGAGTTCACAGCGGTGAAAAACCAAACGAATGTCCGGTAAGTTGTCGTTCTTCTGTTAGTGTTATGGTGTTATTGTTCCTAAGAATCGAGCGACACCTTTTCAAAATGTAAATAAAATGAAACGACCTCTTGACAGCCATCATAAAATGAGAACTTAGCGAACAAATCTAATGAGCTCTCGCTTTATTTCGCATTTCAATGGTCACAGCCGTCTGACACTGTTAACAAATTCATGTCTTCTTAAGCTTTCTATGCTTTTGTGTACTAAATTTATTTATAATAAGTAGGAAAATTATGGGCGGTCGCGACAGAATCTCTTATACCTATCACAGTTATCCTAAAGAAGAATAAAAAAAAATGAAAAAGAAATACATTTTCTTACTATGTCATATTTGATGGGCGCGGTTGGTTTTTTTTTTTGCGTTGTACTTTATGAGTAATAATAATAAAAAAAAAACACGGAAATCAAAGGTTTTCACATTTTTTTGTCGCATAGGCGCGTCAGCTTTGTAGGTGTGTCCTTTGACCGGTTAAGGTCATTTTCAATTTTTTTTTTTTCAAATTTGTAGACGATATCTTCATTTGTGCAAACGGGAGAATGTTTACAACAGACATTACACAGAGGGACAAACAGACGGATAAACATGGCTTAATAAATTCAGAATTTCATGTTTAGCTGCATATGAGAATATGTACACTTTATAGCGTGTCTGCAGACATTGGTATCAGCCATTGGTATTGAAAACAAAGAGGTCAAAAGATCCGTTTTCAACGCCCACACGCTTATGCAACAAAAACTGTGAACACTTTTGCTGTCCGGGTTTGTCGCTTCTTGCTCATAAATTGCAACACAAACAACAAATATATTTACTCTGAATCAGCCGCGCCCACCCAATTCAAATCTTTTCCTTTTTTTAGCCTCTCTTAGTGTAATCGTAAGTGATATAAACGGTTCGGTCACCGGACCGAATACAATTTTTTTGCTTGTTTTTTAATATGACTATGCGCACTCGAAGGATGCCCTCTGCCCCCTGCACTTGTAACACGGCGACGGTCAGGAAGAAATGGATGAAAGAGAGAAATTGATAGGGAACAACCGCAACCTAAAGGGTACGCGTTGCTATATCTTTCCCGACTAAACACTTGCTATATAAACGCATCGCACTGTGGACTGATGCAGCGAACACCAACTTTGTAGACGAGACCTTTTTCTACTCGGCTATGTGAGTTCGCTGTAAGGTCCATAAAATCAAACTATGACCTACACATTAATTGAGTAGCAAAATGAGTCTGTCAAATTATTGCTTTCCGTTAGATTCGTCGCTCTTATCGTTATATGCATTCACAAAAAGTTGTTAGAATGATTTTTCAAATAATTGCATCCTGATGTTGGGTTCGATTTTAATCGATTACTTTAATTTTTTTTTCCCCGCTTTCTCTTTTTGTTTTTACACATATGTGTGTACACATGTGTCTCGCGGCTTTAATGACAACTTTGATATATATATTTTCCATAAAAAGCAACTAACTTTATTACTGTTTATGGGCGAAGGGTTTAATTTGATATTAGAGTCAGTTTTTTTTTGTTCTTTTTTCTGAATAATTACATAAAACGAATTAAAAATTAAAAAAAAGAGATATAGAAATGGAAAAATTCTTTTTTCAAAGTCCCGTGTCAACAATGGGCGTATTGAACAGCCTCGCACTTATTTACTTGCAATTACGCTTCAACTACTTACTAACTAAGACTATAATTAAAAAGTGCTGCTACCATATGTTCAGTAAGTAAACTTGTTGACCACGTACTTTCATAAGTTGAGAAAAATTTTGCATTTTTTACTTAATCTACTTTCATGTTCGTGACTATAAACTGAGTTTGATTTTATACGGTTTTCTTTCAATCTTGTTTTCTCTATCTCTTTTCTTTTACAGTTTCCCAGTTGTAATAAAGCATTTTCGCGTTTGGAAAATTTAAAAATCCATCAACGTTCGCACACGGGTGAACGGCCATACGGCTGTCAATATGAGGGTTGCTTAAAAGCATTTAGCAATAGTTCGGATCGGGCGAAACATCAAAGGACTCACTATGATACGGTAAGTATTAGAAAATTGTGAATTCTATTAAAAGCAAAAATTTTCCCGTTAACTTTTATTTAGAAGAAAAAAACCAGGAGACTACTAAAGATAAAAAAAAATTTTATTTTTTTTTTAATTTTTTTATCTCAACGTAGTAGCTATGCGTTGAAACATTCGAATGAGTGATTTATTGTACACTTTCGTCGCAACCGTCTACAACTTACCAGCTAGAAGGCTTGTTGATGGTGTTCACTTTTCTTCTTCTCTCTCTTTCTCTCTGTTTGCAATTCATATAACTTTTATTTTCCATTTTTTAGCATAAAAAACGTGCGTTTTCCTCTCTTTTTTTCAATTTTCATAAACAATTCACAAACTTTAGGGAGCGAATTGAAGCAGATGCATACACAAATGTCTACGCTTGCATGGTAAGTCCATACGGACTTACGGCAAAAGCTTCACAAGCCATAAGATGCAAAAGGAAGCATTTAAAACGATAGCGAATGAGCCAATGTATTGTGTATGTATGTACATGTGGAAGACACTACACTACGTATTCACGTTTGCATGTGTGACATTTTTGTTTATTATTTCGGTTGCTTAACAACTCGAAATAGTAGCGGCGATGGTAACTCGCTAACTAATGAAATGCAAGCATTTGCCTAAATGCCCTCCCGTTGATTGCATGTAACCAATCGCTCAGTACAACAACTGAAAGGTTATTTTGATTCATAAAATTCGTTTCCTAGCCAGTTAACACTGTCAAGTGCATCGCATACAGAATGCACTTTATTCAGAGAGTGGCATGTGTTACTATTTGTCCAAACGTTTTTTCAGAGATTCACCAAAAAAAAAAAAAAAAAAAAAAAAAAAAAAAAAAAAGCGAATTGGAATTAAATAGTCTAGCAACACTAGGACGTACAATATAGTAAGGCTAAGGTTCTGCTTTATATACTTGATTTTTTTTCTTAAAGAGTTATTTTTAACTTCAAGCTAAATAGTTAATGATTCAATCTTATTAAGCGAGAATTAAATAACCCGGCGTTAAAAATATTTCTGCATAAAGAAATACATGATAGTATAGGGTTTTCTCCACATTTCTACGGCTCTGCCGATGGCAGTTGTTTGTTGATTCTCGTCGACAATTGAAAATATCATCCAAGTTAGACTAAGACCGTATACGCATCATCGCCCCTACTTATCTAGAATACAGAAACTTATCCACTATTGATCCATTAACGGATGTTGAAATTTTCATTCTCCTCACTGTACGTTACTCCTCGCATTTCTTTAGTAAAACTATTTCTCTAATCGAAATATCTATAAATTAAGCCTCAGCGACCCCATATCAATTTTTATAACGTATTTTATATAAGCAATATATTTACTCTATATATAGCAGACGAGTTTTAATTTAGTTTCGTCTTTATCATGAATCTATCCAGCAAATCATGTATTGGAATATTATTGGGATTCGCACGCAGGTTGGGGCTAATTAAAAGTGTAAGTGACGTGACCCACGTACCGTAACGCAGTTTTTAAAAAATTGCAGAAAAAACAAAAATTTCCAAAATTTATTCTTAGTGCTTTAATGAGGCATTTATCGAGACCCTTAAGGATGGTCGCCATTCATAATTGGCAAAAAGTGCGATATTCAAGTGCTTGCATGATATCTATGAAGATTGTTCTTTTAATACATACAGAGCTACATTTTGCAGACGCTGAGATTAGGTTCATGTGCAGATTTCGCCGAATAAAATTCTTTTAATTCTAACCAGAGACATAAAAACTCAGGCTATAACTACTTTTTGTGGAAATAGCGGATCAGATAAGTCACAAAGTATGTGAAACTTCGAGGTTCAAAGTCGATTGGGTCAAGTCGATTTGCTCGATACGTCCATCTATTTTTGGAAATTTTATGCTGACCAATCTGGCAATAAACACTCTGACAATACCTAAAAACTTCAATTGTGGAAAAACGAGAGTTTTCTTCTCACCTTACTACCTGCAGCAGAAAGTAACGTAACCTTTACAGCAAATAGAGAAAATCTAAATGCGGAGCAAGAAAGTGATCTGGAATTAATTTATTGAAAAGAGAATAAAGACTCCGACGTTCGACGACGTTTACAATCGGCCACACATTGGACTTTGCTGATCAGTCAAAGTCAAATTTCTAGGCCAGCTTCGATAAAGTCCTGTTAAGCAAAGGCACGTGTGATACGTTTAGTAAAAATAGCCTGTTTTTTCAAGTTGTGTCTTCCTCACACTCTTCCTCTTCCTCAAGTCTCTAAGGTGATTATTACTCCTCCTAAACGCACCATATGTATTGTTCAATTTTTGGTTTATTGCACATGCAATGCATCTCTTCGCACGGTCTTCTTTATCAGAGATTCAACTCATATGGTTGAAGAACTGACCTAATCAACTCATTTAGTTTTCTTGTGACATCCAACTCTGTTCTTTAGAAGCTTAATAAATCAGGCCGAGGACATTGTTGTCAACCGATTGAGTAGATAATTTCGAATTGAAAAAAATTTTGAAAATCAATTGCGAAAATTGACTTTGACTTTGACATATCCAGATGCATTCTATTGAAAGGAGGCGATTTTGAAGAAGATTAAGAGAAGGAGGAGTTTAAGATAGTAGTAAACCGCTTGCGTATTTTTCTTTTTTCTAAATAAAAGCCCCAGTGCTTGCTCAGGATGTTGTCTATTTTTAAAACTCTTCTGTGACTTGAAAGCCATTTGCATTTTTCAGACAACGATCTGTGTGCTCCATTAATGTTTTTTAAAAAGATATTTGTGCATATTAAGAGGATTATGACGAAATCGAAAGCTGCAAAATAAAAAGATAAGAACCAAAATATGAACTTGAAAAACCTCAGTCGTATTTCGTGCAATAATTTTTGTTCACTTACATTTGCAGCCTGGTTTACTAACATAGGTAGTTACCTATGGACTTTTATAATAATTCAAGTTTTCGGCAATTTTTGATTTTAGAAACCTTACGCCTGTCAAGTGCCTGGTTGCACAAAGCGCTACACTGATCCTTCAAGTTTGCGAAAACACGTTAAAAACCATACGTTACGCAACGCTAACGGGCAATTGATTCGTCGAAAATCATCCAGCAATGTGCCAAAGAAATCTGTTGACCCAAATAACGCCACGAAAACACGACGACATTCGGAATCTTCCATAGTCCAGGGGCAAACAGCAATGAATATTAATGACTTAACTCGTAAATTGAAACAAAATACTTATAAGCCTCGTAGCAATAGTTGCAGCGAAACAACAAATTTTCCATCGTCAGCGCTATTATTAAACAACACTTATGAAAATGAACGGAAATTGTTAAATGTAGTCAGTGACAGTCAGGCGAATGCTAACAATGCGAAAGCGTTATCATCAGCACTACCAGCATTGTCGTTACCTCCATCGCCGGCTGGAATAGTTAGCATTAATCGCAATTCGATGAACTTTAATGAGTTGTCAAATTGCATTGTAACCATCGAGCATAAACAATATCAAAATTGTAACGAATCTGACAACAATAACGGCAGCGATAACAATCGAATTACTATAATAGACACTAACTGCAGGTCGAATGGCAATGAACATGAAAGTATCAATCAATTAAATGAATTCCAGCAACTGATGCAAGTTACAGCGAATAATCAAACAAACCTAATAAATAATATAAAAATGACTGCAACGACAGCTAACGGACAACTGGCTACAGCATCTGTTGAGTCATTGAATTGCAAAAACAAATATACAATGTCTGCAACAAATACTACCACAAATTCGATTAGCAACAAATACCGCAACAACCACTTGACGACCAATACTGCCACTATTGCCACTACAACAACTGCCAACAACAAAGTTAACAGTACTGCAACTACCACAACTACAACTACTTGTGCTGGAACTAATACTAGCAACACTCTCTCCAACCTGACCAATGACAACAATAACGCACATGAGTTCGTTTCATTTGAATATGTAAAAAAACTTCTGTCCGAAACATTTGATTACATGGACGAGGACGGCGGTGATGACGATGACAATAATGATGACGATAATATTCTAATGAAGTCCATGACCGCCAATGATTCCGTTCGCTCTACTTCCATAGTCGCGACTGCTGATGCCATTAATGATATTAAGCAAACTAAGGGAGCAAAAACAACGTTGTCTATAAATGAAATTTCCAATATATCTGATAAAATTACAAGTCATGATCACGTTGACCAAGAATTTGTTAATAATTTCGATATGAACTACCTGCCAACATTTATGTAATAATCGAAAATATGAGAGAGACTGAAGATGGCAAAGTGTTACGCTTGATTACTTTACAAGCTTAAAGAAGTACCAAAATTATGAACCAAACAAATATATAACCAATGCTACCAAGTATATGTAAATATGAAACTGGAATTTTTTGTGTAAAAAATATTTGCAAATGATAAGAAATATGTTATTCGAAATATTACGCAAGGTTAGCTATACATTTTTTTCAATTGGTCTGGCTATTTGCGGACGCTACGCCAAAGAAAATTATTGGGCTTTTGAGGCAAATTGCTCATTGTACCGTTTAATTGTGTCCCATCGATGCATGTAAGTGGTAAGCGAACGGACTCGACTTCGGTGAGTAAGCTGCGTGGATTAAAAATACCCATTTGAGTGTCACCGACGTAAGGTAAGCCGGTTTTACTGTGTGGATGGACCTTGTGTCGTCTTTTCCCACACAGCGGAACGGTGCAAATCGATTGTTTAACAATTACTAAGAGGCCATACTCTTCATCTCCCACGACACACAGAATACCGTCTTCCTGCCAAGATGATTCTGTTCCGCAGTCGATGTTGGTGGTACGCTTGTATTTACCCAGGATTTTTTCGCCCTAGGATACTTAATATAAATTCACTTTACATAGGCAGTTAGCATGGGAGGAAAAGAAATTTTCCTCTCCATTATACAGCTGGCGCTTTTTATTTGGGACAAAACTCGATATTTACTACGCCTGTTCATTGTTCCCAGAGGACCAAGCTATAAAAGGAGCACTTCTTCAGACATGTCCGCCCTCCGTACGTGCCCATGTATTTGCAAATTCCGTTTTCATATTTACATACATGATAACGTCTCTTCTCTATAACTTTGAATACATAAAGAATTAAATTTTGATTTAATCTTTAAAATTTAAGAAGATACCAAAGATTAAAAAAAAGCCAATGTTTCCTCTCCTTGCTTTGTTTTTAGTGTCAATCGTTACAATCCACAATTTAAAAGTCATGTTTTTAATATTTAAGTAATTACCAAAGACACAAACCGAACGAACAACCCCTGCGCCAACTAGGCTTTAGACTCATATAACTATGCCCATTATATTCATATTATATTATAAGACGCAACGTGGACGCGAAAATTTTTTTGTAATTCTTAGAACATGTACTCAGCAATTCTAAATGATCTCAAAACTTTAGCATTTTGAGTTTTTGATATATTTTCTAATTTTTTAAATCGTTAGAAAAAAAAAAAAATAAATAAAAGAAAAAAGAAGTTAAGTGATTGTTAAGTCTTCCCTTAAAAAGTCCAGTTTTTCTTTTTAATACAAGCTTAAGATATTTTTTTGATAAACAAAATTTTACATTTTTTATGGCAATTTTAAATAATTTCCTTTTGAAAAAATGAACAAATCAATCTTCCTTTAAAAAATTTAAAAATTTTTCTTATATTAATCCTCATAAAAATTATAATTCATAGATACATAGATTTTATCTAATATTGATATCTTATCTATGCTGGTTATCGTTGTTTATGTATAGGTTATAAGGTACTATAAGAAATCAAATAAAGGAATATTTGCTAAATAATTCATAAGATTTTAGTTGAAAATTTAAGACCTGTTGTTAATTATTTGAAAATTCTTAAATATAAATAACTAAGTTAACTAAAAAATTGTCAAACGATTTGTCAATAAAATTTACATCGCACCTAATCAAGTTTTATTTTGCTACGAATAACAAAGAACGTATTAAATTCATTGGCAAAAACCAGGAAAAATATGTAAGTGGGCCATGGCCTACAATTGAATATCCTTCCCTTCCTGCCGTTATTCATGTAATGAATTTTCAAAATAAGGACTCATATGGGAATTGCTCGAAAAAGTGCTTCGATCCGGTGCACAAAATTTCATCAAGAACACAAGGGGCACAGACGGACAGACAACGGACAGGCTTTATGTATTCGAATCGATCGATACAATAAAAGACGAGTCTATCTCCACTCCTTCTAGGTGCTGTTCTAGCTAGGACAAACGGACAGACAAGCGTAGAGTGTCCGAATCGATTGTAATAGTAATATGTAGATCTATCTCAAGACATTCTAAGTGTTGCACACATTCGCACAAACTTAATATATCCGTGTATCACAAATGTTGTACGTTTTAAAATAAAGTTATAGCCTAACTCCAGCATTTTTATCTTTATTAGCTATTTAGGCATTTTCGAGTTGAGATATATTCGACAATTATCTGTAGATAAATTCCCACTCATTATGAAAATTTGACTTACGTGAATAAGGTGATTGTGATTATGATCGCGCAGATATTGTGTCTATTACCTATTAGGTATCTTGCTACCACTACTAGCATTAGTGCTGAAAATACATTAGGCTTGCGGAAGCCTATAATCTAGACTCCGTGAAGACCGAGGCAAAATACCAAGTTAACCACAATTCAAATTTACTCGAAACCAGACGTTCTGCCCAATGTCTTCAAATTTTAAGCTCCACGGGGGTCAGGATCCCGCTCACAAGTCACATGTTGCTGCGGGTAGGGGTGAAAGCTCTTCCTTAAATGGATTCGATAAAAGATGATTAAATGCGCCATGAAGTACGCTGGAATGTACTTAATAATATAGAAGGGATTTGACGGAAGGCTTCTAACCCTTTGCCCTATATAATATGAAAAATTTAATGGATTTGACGAAAGTTGAATAACTGCGCCATTCAAGTACGCTGGAAGGTGCATACATGAAAAGTCACGAGTACTTACAGTATACAGGTAGTGGTGACAACATTGATTGAGTGAACGATTGCGATTGACTGAACGCAGCAGTTAATCAATGTGCGACCCCTAACTGCTTGGGTACGGCCCTTCGGGGAGTATTCGTGATGGTTGTGGTTTTCATCATTCCAAAGCGGAATAACCAAGGTAGAGGTGGACCTCAACACTAACCAGAGTGGGTTTATTGAGTCATACATAATAAATAGATCTGGTGACCTGAGGTCAGCGAGGCCCCCTTCAATAGGGATTGTCTCTCTCCCTTAGGGGTTCTTAGTCTACTAATTGACTGCCTATGGTTGTAGGTAACCCGTCTGATTAAGGCTCCATGCCACGTGCAGACGTTAAACACACACACACAGATATCTGTCTTCAAATTTTGAAACGAGTCTACTACGAATGATTAATCTAAACTACATTTCACATTCTCGGGATAAGAACGATGGATTTTAGCTGTTATCGTGTCTCGTACGGTACCCTGTTTATTTCTCAGGGATGACATTGTGTCCCGTTTCTTTTTCTGTTAGCAACAGTGTTAAAGTATAATTCATAAGAATTAAGCATGAAAATGTGAAACATTGCTCTGAACGAATTAACCCTAATTAATTTTCTTATCATTAGGGCGATAAACAAGCAAGCAAACAATAATTTACATTTCCATAAACCACGAACAAAGAGAAGAACTTTGAATATCACTACCATACAGCCTTCAATTGCTTTCAATTCGTAGAATCATAAACTATTTTCATTGTATAGTATGATGAAATTCGTAACTATAGTGAAATTATCTCTTGTTTGCCGCAATCAACTGTAATCCCTTTAACGGTCGACTAGAAGCCACCTCGGTTTTAATGTGTTGGCCGCTTTCCCATTAAGTTCTTCATAAAAACAAATCAATCAATTAGTCTCTGATATTGATCTGCAGATATTCTGGCCAAATTTAGCCTGATGAGTTATTGCTCTACTGTTACCACAACTACACACTACTACTACTACTACTACTACTACTACTACCACTACCACCACTACTACGTGTTATTGCTGCACGATTATTTCTGCTACTCTTTCTCAAACAGACACGTCTACGCATAGCAGCGGATTTCTTGGATATTCATCAATGAACTGATGAACGGTTTTTTCTAAAAATTCAGTGCCTTTGCAATTCGCCGCATTTGTAAATTGTATTTTGATAAGATTTTTGTTTTTGATAGATGGTGCGTAACGAATTTAAAAGTGAATATTGTTATAAAATCCAATTTAATATGTGTTTAACGTTGAAATTTCGCCCAAATATATATATATAGCGTCGTCCGGTGATACATTATTTATACATATATGAAATGTGAACATATATTTATGCATACAGAGACATTAATTGATTACGTTTAATTTAATTAAATCAATGTTACGTTTTTACATACATACGTATCACACAAGTGAAAAAGACAGAGTCACTTCTGTAACGAGCTGAATGAAATTGAAAAAAAAAAGAGGAGGAAAAAAAGAAAATACAAAAGTACAAAAATTGGACAGAAATAAAACACGATGAAAACAACAACATTGTGCAAGAAATCAAAGTGAAATTTACATAATTTCAATATGCATTCATATTGAATGCATGCATGCATGCATGTGTCTGCATGTGTCTGCATGTGTCTGCCTGCATGTGTGTATAGTATACTTTTTATTGGGTTTATTTCTCTTGACGGACCAGATGATTGAAGAAAAAAAGAAGAAGAAAAAATAAAATAAATAAATGTCAAACATTACAAACATATAAAAATGGTTTTATTGCCAACTAAATGGCAACGTGCTGATCATGATGATGGTGTTGTTGCTGATGATTGGCTGATTGGCGGATTCTGTTTTCTCTGTTGACGGTTTGCCTATACATTACACATATAAGCATTTCTGTATGTATGTATGTATGTATGCGTGTTCATGTGCGTTACTCTCAATTGTGAAAGCAAAATCAGTCAAAGAACAAAAAAAAAAACAGAAAATACATGAACATATGTATATATAAATAAACCATAATAACAAGAACAACAAATGGATAAAATGGATTTTGTGGGTGAAATGTTTGCAACAGATTTACCGTTGTGTCGTTCGCAATGATAAATGTGTATACGTTTTTTATATTCACCATCAAGAAAACAGACTAATTTCGTCATTCAATTTGCAACATTCGTCGCCATAAGTATCAGATAAAAATCATCGTAGCATTCATTAAGAATTTCCTTTCCGAGAAGAAAAAGCTAAGCAATAGTTTTCTTGTGTATATCCCGTATATGCATTGCATATATAAATCGTTAGAGAAAATTCTTTTTACTTAAATTTTTATTGCAAACGTGGTAATCCGAATAAATCGTTTAAAAGGTACTCGGGACTCTAGTTTGCCTAAAGAAAAACCTATTCACGAAACGCCATTTGAAAACTTAATTAAGCCTAATGTCGGTCCTACCGTTCACTCGTCGATTACTGTTGGATCTCATAAATTTTTTGAATCTCAGGTTTTATCTTAGCGCGCATTAAAAATTTTCAGAACCAGCCCATAAACATAGTTAGTTCAGCTCCT